CAGAGAAATGGGTGCCCGAAAACAGGAACACTTTCTTTTTTTTTTTTTTCACTTTCTAAAGATTTTTCTAATCTTATTTTTTTGAGAACATAGAGAGTAAAACATACTTTGTCCATGTAAACTTTAGTGATACCGATTACATTCTTTGTTCTGTACAACTATTTGCACCTTTTCTCATGAACAAACTAATTGCCCCATAAGGTCTCTATCTAATCTTTCATACATGTATTGTAAATTTGATCCCATATATACAAGTGCTAAAATAGTATAATGCGTAAGCAGGCTGGCCCTAAGATAACTTAAAGGGATATTTTGGGGTGAAGTGAAAAAGGCCATCTGTAGACAATTAAACATCCCCTTATAGAACGGTCACAAGGAAGAAACGAGCCAGTCATGGTGCAGTATAGCACCAATGAAACATACAACTTTCCTCTAGTTCTTCAATGCTCACCCCCCCACCCCCATTATGACCGCAATTCTACCTTACAATCCAGCTAAACCAGAGCATGCACACTGGAAACAGGGAATTCAGGACAGATAAAACCCTCAGGACCAATAATGAGAATAGCCATACCAGGAGGAGAAGGGGAAGGTGGGGGAAGAAAGAGGGAACCAATCACAATGATCTACATATAAACCCCTCCCAGAGGGACGGACAACAGAAAAGTGGGTGAAGGGAGACAGCGGTCAGTGTAAGACATGAAAAAATAAAGATAAATTATCAAAGGTTCATGATGGAGGGAGGGTGGAGGAGGCGGGTAAATGAGTTGATACCAAGGGCTCAAGTAGAAAGAAAATGTTTTCAAAATGATGATGGCAACATTTGTACAAATGTGCTTGATACAATGGAAGGATGGATGGATTATGATAAGGGCTGTAAGAGCCCCCAATAAAATTTTTTAAAGTTCTCTGAAAATGAACAATTTTGAGGGGGAAAAAGGCTTATCCAACAACAAATTGGTAGAGAACAATAAAATCAGCTTGCAGTGCAGGCTTGCAGTGGTTGACTGCACTCATTTCCTTTTTTAGTAAATTATTTTTTTAATTTATTTTTAACATTTAAGCCTTTAATCACTATTTGTTATGCTTATGAAAATGGATGGAAGAGAAACTTTGAAGAGTGGTATTTAGAAAAACACAATGTTTAGATTATAGAGCTGTCAGGCAGTGATACAAAAAAAATTCCAAGTTAATAGGAGAAAAGTTCAATTATCCCACAGGGACAGTTGGCTGGGATCAGTGACCTTTATGTTCTGGTCCTGGGTATTGTCCCCCATGACACTAGGTCTTGCATCCCTCCTCTCCCTCTGCCTGCCACTTATCTCCTGCTCTGTCAATATTCCCTCTGCACTAGAACTCGCCAAGCTCAATTCCCCTAAGTCCTTTCAGGGTTTTGTGTAATCTTCACAATCATGAATATTTTGGCCTGAACTTATATATCTAAGATTGCTACAGAATATTGTGAACGGCAAGTTCCAGGTAAGTGAACCATCACTAGTTT